GTTTATTTACTGATTCTGTGTTCCCCAGGTACTTCCAGCGGCCCCTGTAATTTGATTCATGTTAACGTTTATTTACTGATTCTGTTCCCCCAGGTACTTCTGGCGGCCCCTGTAATTTGATTCATGTTTACGTTTATTTACTGATTCTGTGTTTCCCAGGTACTTCCATCGGCCCCTGTAATCTGATTCATGTTAATGTTTATTTACTGATTCTGTGTTCCACCAGGTAGTTCCATCGGCCCCTGTAATCTGATTCATGTTAATGTTTATTTATGGATTCTGTGTTCCTCCAGGTACTTCCATCGGCCCCTGTAATCTGATTCATGTTAACGTTTATTTACGGATTCTGTGTTCCTACAGGTACTTCCATCGGCCCTGTAATCTGATTCATGTTAACGTTTATTTACTGATTCTGTGTTTCCCAGGTACTTCCATTGGCCCCTGTAATCTGATTCATGTTAATGTTTATTTACTGATTCCGTGTTCTCCAGGTACTTCCGGCGGCCCCTGTAATCTGATTCATGTTAATGTTTATTTACTGATTCTGTGTTCCACCAGGTAGTTCCAGCGGCCCCTGTAATTTGATTCATGATAACGTTTATTTACTGATTCTGTTCCCCCAGGTACTTCCGTCGGCCCCTGAACATCTTCTGTGAGTTTATACCTCAGCTGGTCTTCCTGCTTTGTCTGTTTGGGTACCTGGTGGCCCTCGTCTTCTACAAGTGGATCTTCTTCACTGCCCTCTGTACCCAGTATGCTCCACAGCTTCTTATCCGTAAGTAACACAGTATACTGAACATTATACAATGTATCTAACTGGTGTCTATTTTGGGTTTTTGAAATTTTTGGCCAATCTTGAATTAAGGAAAGGTTTATTGACTCATGCAAAGTTACCCTGGTATTCATTATTGATATGTTTTGCAATGCTCTCAAGAACAAACCATTTAACATAGCATAAGAAAATAATATTGTATGTAAGGAAATTTTCATCTCCATTCTATTTTCACCCCTTCCGTCCTCCTCAAAAGAGGGTGAATTCAAAACTAGTTGAATTCAAAGAAAACAGCAGTATCTCTTTAGCACTACTGTGTTGGGCAAAGTTAAAACTGGGCAAGATTAATTTCAAGCATAAAGAAATAACTTGGGTCAATAAAAACCCTCTATACAGTATTTTTTGTTCCAAGTACAAACCAGTAGAGCTAGACTCATCAGAGATTTCTATTTGTAGAGTTTATCAATATGTTTTTGATAACATATACACCCCGCTCCAAACCGGCCAATTTTACTGGGGACTTGTATGCCTGCTCTAGTATTGAACCAAAGAGTATCAATGCCACGTCACAGACCGTCTTCTTTGAGTACCAGGTAATTACCTATCTACAGTTTCACAGTGCATCATGTCCTTTCAGATATCTCGGTATCAGATGTCCCTATATTTTATGAATTTGGTCTGTTTATAGCAACCCATTCAGATCACCCTTGTTATCTTGGCGCTAGCGATGGTTCCGATGATGTTACTAGTGAAGCCTTTTGTCTTGAGAGCCAGACATAATGCCAGGGTCAAGGTTAGTATGTTGCCATAGCAACAGGAGATGAAAGTTAGATAGAGTTAGGATTGTATATATAAATATCAAGGCATTAACCTTGACTTGGGTGTACAAGGTTAAGGTCTCTGTAGAGGAGAACTACAACCTGTACTTTAATTTCACATACAGGTACCTGGTACTTGTATCTTGTGTTGCTTAAGTGTACATTTGAATTGTTGTTTGTTTTTATCATAACATGATAATTATACAGAGAATTCAGAATATAATTTTCCTTCTTTTTCTTTATTTTGAAGTGTGTATTTTCATATAAATCTATAATTGATGTCTAATAATAATAAATTAAGAATGCCTTATGATTTTTTTAAGGGGAGGGGGGTCTCAGTATTGCATGGATTTGTTTTAAATAATTTACCTTGTAATGTTTATAAAATTGAAATTTTTTTGTTTGATCATGTGACCTATGATTAGATCATGTGACCTGTAGTAAGTAAATTTGTACTTATATTGATTGTGTCACTTTGCACAGGCCAGTAATAGCGTAAGTATAGAGTATTGCTAGTCATGTAATAAGCTAGCTGTGTGTTTTCTTTTTTACAGAACAGGGGCTGTTAATTATTTTTTGTGATTAATAAAGTTTTTATTATATTATCTGCATAATTTTATGCATTTACTTGCATATATGATTAGACATATCTTTGTGAAAAGGACATATCTGTTAATCAGATATGTAAAACTAAAGCTATTTTCTTGCCCTTTAACCAGCTTACATGCAGTTTAATATATACAGATAACTGATCACATTTCAAGGATGTAAACAAAAAGCAATAGGTACGCTTGCTCATATTAACACAGTCATCTTTGCATCATTGTGTGATATTTTTCAAATCTAAATGAAGTGATTAAATTATGTAGATCTAAATATAGGAAGCCTGTGAGGGAGTGTCTCGTACATAATTTATCAGAGAGGGTGGGGCAAGATATAAATCTCATACATTAAGTGTTGTGAGAAATATGATTCAATGATGGTGATGAGATACATATATACATATTGTAGAGCATCCATGATATAATATCATATAGCGGTGGTGAGATAGGCATCTCATCAGTTTGTAGTGAGATATACTGAGATGTAATCTCATCTTTAGTGGTGTTGAGATATTTCAGGATTTACTTATTGTGAGATATAATCAAACAAATCTTCTTTTAATTTTGCACATACATGTACATATATATCCGGATAGAGCTTTGCTATGAGAAAGAGCACAAATATGTTATTCATTCAAGAACAAAAATACATGGATTTGTCTAAGTATATTTGGATTTTTGAAAATACTTAGGAATGTTCATTCTATATTTATGTTCCCCAAACGAAGTTGGGGAACATATTGTTTTTACTCTGTTTCTTATTATTATTATTATTATTAGGGTCTTCCGTCTTCAGCGGAAGACCCTTCTATTATTCTATTGTTTCTTTTTCACTTTTATTATTATTCTTGCCTTTTCTTCTTACAATTTTTGTGCAGAAGATTTCTCAGAGATGGCTCGACCGATTTACTTGAAATTTTCAGAGAAGATGTATCTTTATCTAAACCTTATACGTTTTTTTTCATTTTTTTGAAATTCACTTCCGGTCGGAAGTTATCGCCCTTTGATCGAAATTTAGAGGACCTCCTTGTCTGTGATGGAACTCAAAAATGGCTTAAGCTAGAAAGCTGAAATTTTCAGGGATGATAGAGGACATGTTCCCATGTTGCACCTGGGTCAGGATATTTTCCGGAAGTGCCTTGTATGGAAGCTCAGTAGGGGTCAAAATGTAGGACACGATTCATGACCGATTTTTTGGGACAATATGCATCATATCTTTTAAAGTGTAATTATTTTGTTAAAACATACTGTGCAATATTTGTGCAGAATGACAAGATCTATAATATGATTTCAAGAAAAAAGTGCTGACTCATCACATTAAGGGCAAAAAGGGGCCAGAAGTCTTTAATCGATAACTCTTAAACAATCAATATTTTGGTATATATTACTGAACAAAAATGTTAAGCTCAACAATCTACAACTACATATTATGATTTATATGTCGTATGGTACATAATTAGGGGCCACAAGGGGCCAGAATGCTAAATCTTTGATGCTTTATATCTCGAAAGGGAGAAATATTTTGATAAGCAATATTGAACAAAAGATGTTCAAAATAATGTTCTGAACAATATGCAACCTTTTATTTTTTGCTAAACGTCCCCATTAAGGAGTTGAAGGGTTGGCCCCTAAATATTTTTTTTGCTAATAGCTCAAAAACGAAAAAGAATTTCTGAATAGTTGTTGAACACAAATTGTTTAAATTCTTAAGAGCTTTGAACGAGATCCTGAAAAAGGGGCTGGGCACTCAAATAAGGGGCCAAGAGGGGCCAAAAGTCTTCAATCGATAACTCTTTATCAGTTTATATTTTGTATTACATTACTGAAGCAAAGATGTTTATCTCAACCATCTACAACTATATATAATATGATTTTTATGTCGTATGGAATATAATTAGGGGCCACAAGGGGCCAGAATGCTAAATTTTTTACGCTTTATTTCTCGAAAGGGAGAAATATTTTGATATGCAATATTGAACAAAAGATGTTCAAAATAATGTTCTGAACAATATGCAACCCTTCATTTTTTGTTAAACGTCCCCATTAAGGAGTTGATGGGTTGGCCCCTAAATATTTCTTTTGCTAATAGCTCAAAAACGGAAAAGAATTTCTGAATAGTTGTTGAACACAAAATGTTCAAAATCTTAAGAGCTTTAAGAAGAGATTCTGAAAAAGGGGCTTGGCACTCGAATTAGGGGCCAAGAGGGGCCAGAAGTCTTTAATCGATAACTCTTTAGCAGTTAATATTTTGTAATACATTACTGAAGCAAAGATGTTTATCTCAACCATCTACAACTTTATATTATGATTTTTATGTCGTATGGTACATAATTAGGGGCCACAAGGGCCAGAATGCTAAATCTTTGATTCTTTATATCTCGAATGGGAGAAATATTTTGATAAGCAATATTGAACAAAAGATGTTCAAAATAATGTTTTGAACAATATACAACCTTTCATTTTTTGCTAAACGTCCCCATTAAGGAGTTGAAGGGTTGGCCCCTAAATATTTCTTTTGCTAATAGCTCAAAAACGAAAGAGAATTTCTGAATAGTTGTTGAACACAAATTGTTCAAATTCTTAAGAGCTTTAAGACGAGATCCTGAAAAAGGGGCTGGGCACTCAAATAAGGGGCCAAGAGGGGCCAGAAGTCTTTAATCGAAACTCTTTATCAGTTAATATTTTGTAATACATTACTGAAGCAAAGATGTTTATCTCAACCATCTACAACTTTATATTATGATTTTTATGTCGTATGGTACATAATTAGGGGCCACAAGGGCTAGAATGCTAAATCTTTGATGCTATATATCTCAAAAGGGAGAAATATTTTGATAAGCAATATTGAACAAAAGATGTTCAAAATAATGTTTTGAACAATATACAACCTTTCATTTTTTGCTAAACCTCCCCATTAAGGAGTTGAAGGGTTGGCCCCTAAATATTTCTTTTGCTAATAGATCAAAAACGAAAAAGAATTTCTGAACAGTTGTTGAACACAAAATGTTCAAAATCTTAAAGATGATATGAATAAAAAGGGCCGATTCTTAAATTAGGGGCCGTGAGGGGCCAAAAGCCGTTTTTTTTTAAGTCTTTAATGTTCAATGTCTTTTTACAGATTGTGGCAAGTTATTATTTTAGAATAAAAATCTCAATCAAAATCTTATTTCATCTCATCAAGAATTGGACGGAAGACCCACTCGTTGCTCGCAACGAGATCGTATTTAGTTATTATTATGTCGCCCCGAACGAAGTCGGGGACGACATATTGATATTGTACGCATGTTTTTTTTATCCAGGCTGTTTCTCGGAGATGGCTGGGCAATCTTCCTGAAACTTTCCTTCAAGGACGATCACTGGTTGTAGTTGTGCAGTGAGGTCGTTCAGTTCCAATATGTCTACCGTTGCCATGGAAACCTGTAAAAAGCGACAAATTTTGTCCGAGAGTGTTCTCTCTGGTCCCTTAAACGTTCGTCATGAAACTTTTCTTATTTTAATGATTAGTATCTGTAGTTCTGCAACTCGTATTTAAAATTTTCATATAATCGATTATTGCCATGGAAACCAGGTGAAAGTTAAAATTCTTTAATTTCGATTTTCTCAATAACTACTCAGGCAATCGTTTTGAAACTTTCAATGTTTATTCCTTGCAATGTGTCAAAGTGATTTCTACTTTCAAAATAATTGTAATGAGTCGCTCACGGTTGCCATAGAAACGAAACAGAAAAAAAGATTCAGATGTACACATGTGTTCTCCAAGGTCTAGGTCAAAGGGTCAAAGTTCGTCGTATCCAATAAAAGTTCTTTTCACAAGGATTACATATTTGAAATACAAAAGCCCTAGTACTTACCGTTCAAACGTTATGGCTATTTACTATGTTCAAGACGCCCCCCCCCCCCTCTTTTTATGAAGCACACAGCCAAGTAGAATACACAGATATAACATATACAACTTACAAGTAACTTTTTAAAATCTTCATTCATAAAATTCAGTTCCCGTCATGTGATATTTTGCCATCATTCATTCTCCTTCTGTTTTGTCTCTTGAATTTATAAATATTTTATTTTATCTATATAAAAAAAAATAACGATTGTCAGCTGCATTTATTATCATTTCGCATTTTCTTGTATATCTATCACTTGTATATTATTCATTTCATTAGATAGTGCAAGTATAAATTAAAAAATTGGTACGTCATTTCCATAGTTTTTATTCATTCATAAATTCTTTGATCCGCTCCTGATGGTTCGCAAAGCCTTGATCACCACTGTATACAAAACATTCATCTCGCCGAAAATGTTCATGATTCCGCTAAACTGAGAAAGTTCACACATGATTTATTATCTCATACACACATCAGCTCTCTGCAATGCAGAAATGCTCGAATTGAAGGGGAAAATTCAGGAGTTATTGATGAGAAAAATTCAGGAGTTATTATGTCGCCCCGAACGAAGTCGGGGACGACATATTGATATTGTACGCATGTTTTTTTTATCCAGGCTGTTTCTCGGAGATGGCTGGGACAATCTTCCTGAAACTTTCCTTCAAGGACGATCACTGGTTGTAGTTGTGCAGTGAGGTCGTTCAGTTCCAATATGTCTACCGTTGCCATGGAAACCTGTAAAAAGCGACAAATTTTGTCCGAGAGTGTTCTCTCTGGTCCCTTAAACGTTCGTCATGAAACTTTTCTTATTTTAATGATTAGTATCTGTAGTTCTGCAACTCGTATTTAAAATTTTCATATATTCGATTATTGCCATGGAAACCAAGTGAAAGTTAAAATTCTTTAATTTCGATTTTCTCAATAACTACTCAGGCAATCGTTTTGAAACTTTCAATGTTTATTCCTTGCAATGTGTCAAAGTGATTTCTACTTTCAAAATAATTGTAATGAGTCGCTCACGGTTGCCATAGAAACGAAACAGAAAAAAAGATTCAGATGTACAC